AGACAATGTGGTATGTATCCACAATGGAGTATTATTCAGCCATAAAGAAGAATATAATATTGTCATTTGGAGGAAATGGATGAAATGTTAAGTGAAATTAGCCAGACTCAGAAAGAGAAATATCACATGTTCTCCCTAATTTGTGGAATCTAAAAAAAGATGGCATGAAAATAAGCATGGCAAGAGGAAGGGAAATGAAAGGAGAAGAAATGTTATAAGGGACAGTAATGGGGGGATGGATATGTTCAAAATATATTAAATACACTTTAACCCAAAATTTTATAAAATTAGTAGGCACAAATTGATTAAAAATGGATGATATATAGGAACAGAAAGGTGTCACTGGGAGGTTATGGGAGATATTTAGAGGAAATTAAATTTTTATTGAACTTGAGGAATTTTCTAGATGAAGAAGTAGGGGACTTGAACTCTAAATAGAATGGGGGTTGCAAAAGCACAGATGGATGAAAAGAAAGTTCAGTTTGGAGAACTATAAAAATTCAGTGTGGTTAAGCGCAAGGTTCTGAGTTGGATCCCCAGTACAAAAAAAAAAAAAAATCAGTATGGTTAAAGGGTAAAGTGGGTATAGAGGAGTGCTGGGAGATGTGGATAAAGTTTATACTCTATTCTGGAGTTCACATCAGTCCAGTATTTTTTGTTTAGTTTTGTTTTTTGCTGTTGTTGTTTCCAGTAAGAATATAACATGATTGGCTGGAATGAATGAGCTACTTGAATTGTTTAAAGTGGAATACAGTGTCTTCTGTCTTTAAAGTTGCTATTCAACCAACTTTGTTTTATCAACTAAAAAACCTGAATTTCCTCTATTTTAGTATCATGGAATATGACGGGCATTTTCAGTGAATCAACTGTTACCCTTTGTAACAGGACTGAAGAAGAGAGATCTTCAGAAGAAATCTTCTTCAGAAGTGGAACAACTACATTTATGTATAGTTTTTACTAGAGGATACTAATTTTAAAATATTGGGTTTCATTATGACATTGTCATAGAGATATTTTGATCATATCCATCATCCCACTTTTCCTTTATAAATTTTTATGAACTCTATATTTTCTACACGTGCTTAACTTTTTGATAAGAAGTGGTAACCTAGTTCAGAAAGAAAATAATCATCCCTTTTCAATCATGCAGAACACTCTTTCTGAGTATCATAATAGTGGATAATGTGGGACCAAGATGTATGAATATAAGCATAGAACATATAAAAATTCATGTACATACATATATACACATGCGTGCATTTTCGAGTATACTATAATTTGTATGTAGCGAAATCATTTTAATTAATATTTTGGGTAGCAATTGTGATAACCTCTCATTAGACATCTACAATTGTAAATAAAAGTCACATGTTACAGGTCACTAAGAATTACTGAGGAAAGTGTTTGTAAGGGTAATGTTTTGTCTAATTCTTGATTTAATTCTTTAATTTCCTATCAGTTTAGATTCTTTTTCAAGTAATACTGAAAAAGCTTCACTCTTGAGCTCAAGCAGAACAAAAATTTTAAAGTTCCACTAATGAAAATATCTAAAATTTTTATATGCACAAACTACTCGTATATCAGTCTTTCTCCTCTCTATTTTTTTTACTTAGCATCTTAAGAAATGATAGTTCACCAAGGTTTCCATTGATAATATCTAATTTGACTTTCTTATACTAACAATACCCATCTAAAAATTAAAACGAAAACTAGTAACTATTCAGGTCACAGTAGTAGCAAACCATAGACTATTTAGGAATAAATCTATCAAGAAATTTATAAAACACGATATTAAAAAAATTATAAATTACTATTGCAGCATCTAAAATATTATATTTCAATTAATAAAAAGATATATTGAGATTTTTAATCAAATTTAGCATTTTAAAATGTGAACTCTATGGTGATGTATGACATTTATTGAAATTACAAATACATCCAAATGAAGTTGTTTCTAGACTTTTATTAAACTAAACTTAAATTTCACCTGGGGAATAAATGTGAAGTATAGATATTTTATAGATAAATTGCCTGGGTTGGAATTCTGGCTCCATCATATTAGTTCTGTTATCTTTGGAAAGATATTCATCTTTACTGTTTCCTCATATTTAAATAAGAGTAGAATAAAAGAGTTGATGCATCCAAGTACTTAAATCAGCACTTGACACTGTATATTAGGTATTATTGTTCTTTATATTGTTATTATTATATTGTAAATATTAGTATAGGAAGACTAAATGACCAAAGAGAGCCTAGAAATTTACAAATAAGAATTAGTCTTTGTCAGATATTAAATCATACCCAAAGCCATTAAAAAACCAAAGCACTCCCAAATCTGGAAGAGTATTGGTACAGGAATATAAAAATAGTTCAAAGAAACCAAACCGAGAACCCAGAAATATGAGAATATGACAAATAATACACAAATTCAATAAAAAATTATTCACTTAATAAATCATGACTGCTATACAATTACCTCACACCAGATGTAAATATAAATTATACCTTGATTAAAATTTGTAATTAAAAAGCAATAAATATTTGAAAAGAAAATTTAGGATACTATATATATATAATCTGGGTAGTACTTTTTAAGAAATATAGGAATTCCAGATCAATACATTGATTTCATGAAAAATTAAAATTTTATATATGATAGATGGTATATACATAGTAAAAAGAAAGAGAAATAAAAATGTTTTTAATATATGCAGCAGAAAAGTTGCTAAAATCTATTACATACAAAAATGAATTGATAAGAAAAAGACAAATTCTACTAAAAATTAACATTGATATTAAGGAAAATGCAAATTAAAATGGCATATTAGCAAGTAATTAAGCTGTGAATATATGTATTATTAGTGGTGATCTGAAGAAAAGATACTATCAAAACCTACTGATGAATATATAATCCTCTTCAGTAGTTTCATAAAGGAATCTGGCAGTATGTTTAAAAAATAAAACACATACTTTTGAACTAGCCATCTCATTCATGAAAATATATCTCACTGATATAAATTCATGAAATTGCAGATATTATTGATATTATTGATAGGTTTGGGGGAAGGGAGGGTAGTAAATGCGAGGAGCATCAGACAGCATGTAGTAGAGCTATATATGAAATACAGAAGTCTTACAATTCTAGTCTAATCTAGTCCAGACTACAAATAAACATTCACAAATTAATTCAAGCACAGAATTGTCTGCAGGCATTTTGTATTAATCTACTTTGTTATTATAGTATTCTGCTGTTGACTTGCCAAGGTTTCTGTGATGTTGGTTACTAAAATAATGTGACTATCTAGGTATATTTCATTCAATAGTATATTAGTCAATTAGAAGAAAGTGTGGGAATTAAAATACATTCTTGTTTGTATTACTGCTGAAACATATTCTAGTAGAAATTTTAAATCGACAATCAATAGCCATTTTAACAATAGTATGTCTGGTAAGGTCATGCAAATCTGGGATTTGAACCCAGAGCATTTGGGTTCAGCTTTTTCCATACACCATACCTTCATTTTATTATAATTTTATGAGAGAGGGTAAACAAAAGCCTGTTTCAGCCAAATTTTGCACATAGGAGCCCATCATATATAAATATAATAAATATTTCAAACAACTCAATGAAATTCACTGAACAGAAGCAATGAAATAAAATGACAATTTTAAAACATTCCTTATACTAATACATTGGGAAAGATGTAATTAGGTTCTGAAAAATCTGCTTTTCTTCTTTTGGGAGAAATGAGGTAGGTTATCACATTAGATAAATATTCTACCCAAGGACAAATGGAAATTAATGCTTTATTCAGAGCATTGGTAAATACATTATAAAATTATTGCAAGAGACATTGGTGTTTGAGTACATATTATGGACCTATCTTTTGTGTTAAGTTGCTTCAAATTTTTACAGTGGTTAAAGAAGATACTGTTGTAGTATTATCTCCATTTTACAGATGGAGAAATGAAAGAGATTTGTGCAAAGTGATTTGTCAGTTACTAGTGGGGAAAGAGTTAGAAAAGGATCATTTTGCTTTCTGGACATTCCTGCCAAGTGTTTTCTACTTTGTTTAAAGTTTTGTTTTAGAATTAAAAGTATTTTTGAATTGTCAATTTCATTGCTTGTGTTTAGTGAATTACTTTGATTTGTTTTAAATAACAGATAAGACATAGGTTCATTAGTGCAAAATTTGGCTGAGACAGGCTTTTGTTTATGCTCTCTTATGAAGATTAATGGAATAAAAATGTATTTGTAATTTTTTGACATTTAAATTCAGTGATGAATTTAAGCATGTCTACTGCAGTGTAGGCTATTGTACCTTATAAAAAGCAAAAGGAGGGTTGATGAAAAAGAGATTTTAGTGGAGGAAAAGAGGAGGTGGAAACAAAAGAAAAGAACAGATACGTGATAATAACATTGAAAAGGTAGAGAACTTTTTGGAGCGAAAAAGAGATTACTTTCTATCTAGCTCTTTGCATTCTTCAAGTCTCAGGCCAAACCAATCTCTTCCAGAAAATTTCTAGCTTCTTCTATGTGTTATGTGGATAATTTTATTATCTATAAAATTAATTTGTTAAATAATTTGTACTGTTTTATAATCTATACATTTAATAATTTTTATATTTTCCAGTTTACATTTAATGGTCATGAATGACATTTTAAAAATCAAAGATAAATTTGCATCTAAAATTTCAGCAGTTATTTTAACCACCTAAATTGCATTTGAAATCATTTAGATGCAATTTTTTTTTTTTATAGAAAGCCTCTTTGCTGTCTAAGTTTATTGTTTTGTTTTTGTGAGGCTGGGGATTGAACCCAGGGCCTTGGCATGCTAGGCAGTTGCTTTACCACTGAGCCATAACCCCCAGCCCTTAGATGCAAATTTTTACTGTGGTTAAATTAGTAGTCTGTATAAGATTACAGTTGAAAGAAGATATGATTTTCATATTCAGATTTAATGTGCTAAAAATTCTCTTAATTTTGTTTTTGATAATAGGACATCTCCAAGTTTGCAGAGAAAGACAACATAGTACTTGGAGAAGGTGGAATCACCCTGAGTGGAGGTCAGCGTGCAAGAATTTCTTTAGCAAGGTGAATATCTGATTACTGATCCAGCAAACATTTGCTGTAATTATCAGGCACGTAAAATACTATAGACATTTCTTTCACTTTATAGTGAATTTCTGGAATTTAAAAATTGGTGAATGTGGCTATTGGGTTAGAAAACACCTTTAAGAACTATAGAGAATGATATTGTTTTTGGATTTTTTTTAAAGCAAGGGCTTTTCAAAATATATTTCCTCATTTTGGTCTGTGTATACTTGTTTGCCTTGTGGTGTGGTACACTACAAACTGAAAGCCCTGGAATTCTGCATAGAACAAGGAAAGAGAAGATACAAATCTCCATTGATTCCATCATGCAGTTCTTCTCTCCCCAACCATGCACAATGCAACCTCCACAGAGCACAGTGGTTTAGGCTTCTATTGATGCTTCTTGGTTTGCATAAACATACATTTTAAAAATTTTCAATGTAATTTATACTTTTCATAACAAAATAGTAAGGTAAATGTCATTTGGCTTAAAGTCTAGAATCTTCAAAGTAAAATAAACAGGACAAACACAAGAGACATTGTACAGGTAGAATTTCCCTTGGTAAAGACATTCTTGGCACAATTAGAAGCTGTCAAAGAGAGTTGCATATAGTTAATTTGTGTTAAGGAGAAAACATTGTAACTTTCAGTTAAAAAGTTACTGGTAACATGGGATGTCAAATATTCTTCAAAGTTTATTTGAGCAAAATTCTTCTTGATGTGTTGTCAAAGTTATTAGTAAGAAATTAGTTTCATTGGCTTGATGTGTTGGCGTCTTTCCCTTACTCTTTTCTGCCTCTAAAAGCTGAGACAGAAATGTAACTCTGCACACCTGCAGTTGCCTAGTACTACTCTACATGTGTGTGTGCGTGTGTGTGTGTGTGTGTATGTGTGTGTGTGTGTCTGTTTGGGTGATCTCAATTTTCATCCAACTCTGCAAAGAAAGAATTGTTCTCCCTACTTTACAGAAGAAATCATGAGCTAGTTGTGGCTATTAGACATTAACTTGCTAAAAGCCACACAGGGAATTTCTGGCGTCACAACCCAAGCCAAGTGCTCTTAATGCTTTACATTAAACTCTCCCTTCATCTTGGGAATTGCACTGTGAACTAATGCATCAATAGATATGTATAATTTACATTCAAAATAATGGACTTTAAATAATTGAAAGTTGATCAATTTATATGTGAACCAAAGACAAAAGTGTTCCATTCCAAATTTAGTTAAGGTATCTATATATGGTCTGGACATTCAATAGAGAGTTGGTACGTACCAGTTTAAGATTTGGTCTTGTTTTAAGGTGCACACAGTTTGAAGTTGTACTGAAAATCCTATTGTTATTCTCATCAGAATATGTCATGTGCTGTCCAATTTCTATGATGATTATATTTCTAATCTCTTGAGAAACTGTGATTATAGGTGTGAAGGAGAATATCTTAATCTGTCTTAATCTGCCAGTAACTCAAAAGTATAGATGGGTAAATTTTAAAGAAAAAGAGGTTTATTTTGGCTCCCATTTCTGGTCAAGGCCTCAGATTTGCGGATGGCCTGTTGCTAGCAGAGGAAGTGTAGGACATCACATGGCAAGACACAGGAGGTACAGGAAGCATGTGTGTTTGTGCATGTATGTACACACATGCATGCATGTATGTGTCCTCTGCTCTCTCTCTCTGTTGTTTTAGAGTCATGAGTATTTGGTCATGGAAGCTCAACCTGCTTGACTCTATCTAATTCTAATTATCCTCCAAATGCCCATCCTCTAAACACCACAGTCTAATTAGCTCTAATTTCAGGGGGAACAAACCGTACTGAATACTTATTAGAGAGAGAGAGAGAGAAGTAAGAACCAAGTCAGGGCAAAGAAAAGCCTTGAGTGTGCATTTTGATGGAATTCTTTAGTTCTTCCACACATTGTCTTTAAAAATAATTTATAATATAAACCATCTTTTAGATCTTACTTTGAAGTTTTGCTCTTTCTGGTTAGTTTCATTACTTCTCTTAGTTAATACGCTAATTGAATTCAATTTTATTTTTTAAATAAAATTTTCCAGAATTATGTAAACACAGAATCCTGTGTAGTTGGTATAGAGGTAGAGTATTAATAATTATATCTGAAAAACTTAAGTGTTATGATAAAGTTACATTTCCATTAATATGGAAATTATATCTTATTATGGTTCTAAATCAACTCAAAGGAAACATTACAATATTTGCTTATAAAATTTTATTTTTTAAGGCCAGGCATGGTGGCACATGCCTGTAATTCCAGCACTTGCGAGGCTGAAGCAAGAGCATCACCACAAGTTTGAGGCAAGCCTGGGCTACATAGTCAGTTCAAGGCCCACCTGAATTATACAGTGAGACACTATCTCAAAAAACCTAAATAAAGTAAAATAAAAATAATGAACATTATTAAATACCTATGAATAAAAGTAGTTTCTAACAGAGATACTTTTGTCTATGTTGTGAACAGTGTTATTTCAGTGAATGGATGTAGTGACTAAAATGTAGTGGACTGTTTTTTAAAATAAATCATCTGGAGCCGGGATGTAACTCAGTGGTGCCCAGCTGGCAAGTGAAAGGTCCTGAATTTGATCCCTGGTAACAAAAGAAAAGATAAATAAAAATAAATCATTTATATTTACTAAATAATAAATAACATGATGAATATTGAAATCTAATTTAATTGCCATTTCTTTTTAGAGCAGTATACAAAGATGCTGATTTGTACCTATTAGACTCTCCTTTTGGATATCTAGATGTTTTAACAGAAAAACAAATATTTGAAAGGTATGTTCTTTGAATAACTTATTTATAATGCTTATGGTAAAGATGAGAAAAATGAGTGTACCATCATAGACTGCGTATGACCTCTTGAGACATATTGTTGCAACTCCCTGTAGACAGATGTAACATGACACTGACTAGCTGCTCTGTCCTTCACTCGCAAGACTGAAAGCTGCTTCCGTTAAAACCTTTTCTGATCACTGCATGCTAAACCATTTTCTTCCATTGCTATACTATTACAACAGTTGCTATTACATATGTAGTTTCTACATATTACTGTCTTGTGATATATCTTCTATTATTTTAACTGCTTATTATACTTAAATTTTATATACTTGTTTGTATCTTAGTATTTTATGCTATCTCCTTCTTAGATGGTAAACTGCTCAAAGGACGTACACATGCTAAATGGTTTAATGGTGAATGCTTAAACTGTACATCTACCTCAATATTTCCTGGGAAATCTCCTCACTCACCTAAAGCTCTGGATTTCCACTTCTTTGGAGCTGCTGTTAGGGCTCAATATGTGAAGTTCCTAAGAGCAAGAGTTATATGACTTAATTTCAAAGTTTCAAAATAATTTTATAAATGATAATTTTTTTTTTTGGTACCAGGGAGCAAACTCAGGACCTTGCACTTACGAGGCCATTGCCGGAACCACTGAGCTAAATCCCCAGCCTTATAGATGACAATTTATTAGGAAAATAGTCATTGTACTCTTCTAGAAATAAATATTTTAAGCAACAAGGATGTATATATGTATTGTATAAAATGGCTATATTATTTCTAGAATTACTTTTCCTAGAATTTAAATTTATTTATTGCCTTACTTCAAGTTTTTATTTTAACATATTCTTAAGATTTGAAATATTCTGGAACCCTGCTGACTTTGCTTTAAGATATCCTGAAATATTTTTAATCTTGTATTTTATAACATTAAAAACAACAAATCAAGAAAATCTACCTGTCCAGGAACCATTTTTTTTCCTGAAGTGGAATTGTGTGGTATTGTTTTATTTGACATTTTCAGTTTCACTACTTTCACTCAGGTGATACTAGATACTAGAGTGATTTCTCATGTACAAATCCCAAGGATATTTTATCCTGGCCTCTCTGGATAAGTTGTCAAGTACTATCAACATAATCTCCATTCAGATCATTCCCAATTCTTATTTTTACTCATCAACTTCCTCACCAATCTATGTTGAAGTGCCAACTATTATAAGGTACTTTATGAGTTAAACTTCTCACTTTCATTCTCAATGTAATGAGGAAGCCATTCATCTTTCACCAAAGCTTATTTTATCCCCTCCAGTATAGCCTTGTATTAAGATTGCACAGTAAAGCTGCAGTTATCTTTGAAATCCCTTTAATTGCTCTACAGTGGTATTACATAGAACTCTGACTTCCTTATACTCTGAAAAATGCCAGGTAATTTCCAGCATTTCAAGCATAGAGCAACTGAAGTTAGGGCAAGTTTGGAAAAGCCACTTAACAAAAAGACAAAAGCATAAATCATTTATTTACTTTATATTAGTTTAAACCTTGAGGAGTACAGCATCATAGATTCTGTGTCCAATGTTATTAGCAAAAAAGTTGCTTTAAATTTAGCACAAACCATTCCATCATTTCCATAGCCGTGTTGCTTTTCTCCAGGTTATTCTGGTTTTATATAGTTTGCCGCCAGGAGTCACTGTGCTGTTTTTTGTTGTATACATCATAAAATTCTGTTTCATCCTGGACATAACTACTCTGATTTTAAGAAGAGCCAGGTGCTACCTGTGGTTCTGGAGACCCCGCTGAGGGCCAGTGGAATGGTTCTGCATCACAATCTTCCTAATGTATTTGCCTTTTAGAAGTCCTGTGCCCAGCAGGGCTCTTCAGACTCCAGGATGTCAGAAAGAGCAGCTTCAGTCCAATTTAATATCCAAAGTGCTATTTTTATACTCATGGTACTATGATACGTGACTTCTTACCAATATAAACTTTGCTGCATTTATATTGTTGTTTATATTGTTCATATTTGTGTGGAAGAGTATGATGCCTCTTCTTGTATGATGTATAATGTTTTAATGGGTAAAAGAAACTGATCTCTCCTAAATGCACTTAGTCAGGATTTACTTTTAGACTAGATGAAAATTTTATTAAAGGAAAGTCAAATTTTATTATCAAATTCTCAATTATGTTTTTAAAATTACTTTTGTATTAATATGGCCAACCAAAAATGTAGGAAGACATTAACAGAAAATTTAAAGAACAAAAAAGCTTTAACACTTTAGAACCCAGAAAGTAAATAATTTGCTCAAAATTAGACACCCACTGAAAGTCAGAAATTTAATTTAATTCCAGGTCTGTTAACATTCAACTTCACAATTATTTCATGCTATAATAAATCAAGAGGTACCAAATGAATTACTAGAGAGTATTTATACTTTTAGAATCATTTTAAGTATAACAATAGAATGATATGATAGAGATTTTACACAATAAAACATTAGTAAAGTGCTAAGGTACAATACATATATTATTATAATGAAGTATTTGTGCAATTGATCTTATTTATATTTCTTTTATATTCTTAAAGCTGTGTCTGTAAATTGATGGCTAACAAAACTAGGATTTTGGTCACTTCTAAAATGGAACATTTAAAGAAAGCTGACAAAATATTAATTTTACATGAAGGTGGCAGCTATTTTTATGGGACATTTTCTGAACTACAAAATCTACGACCGGACTTTAGTTCAAAGCTCATGGGATATGATTCTTTTGACCAGTTTAGTGCAGAAAGAAGGAATTCAATCTTAACTGAGACTTTACGCCGTTTCTCCTTAGAAGGAGATGCTTCTGTCTCCTGGAATGAAACAAAAAAACAATCTTTTAAGCAGACTGGAGAGTTTGGGGAAAAAAGGAAAAACTCAGTTCTCAATTCAATCAACTCTATAAGAAAATTTTCACTTGTCCAAAAGACTCCATTACAAATGAATGGCATCGAAGAGGATTCTGATGACCCTTTGGAGAGAAGGCTGTCCCTAGTTCCAGATTCTGAGCCGGGAGATGCGATCCTGCCTCGCAGCAACGTGATCCCCACGGGCCCCACATTCCAGGGAAACAGGAGACAGTCTGTGTTGAACCTGATGACGCACTCAGCTAACCAAGGGCAGAACATTTGCCGGAAGACAACGGCACCTTCAAGAAAAATGTCTTTGGCCCCGCAGGCCAGCTTAACAGAAATGGATATATATTCAAGACGGTTATCTCAAGAGAGCAGCTTGGAAATCAGTGAGGAAATTAATGAAGAAGATTTGAAGGTATGTACAAATTATTAGCCACCCACCATGAAATTAAGTGCGATGCAATATATGCTATTGAAAAGAAAAGATGCTATTGAAATATATGCTATTGAAAAGAAGTTTCCTAAAGGATAATCCATCTATATGATCAAATATCCATCTAAGTGAATTACTCAAATCTGAGAAATTTTATAGCATATAGTGGTAAAGCCTACAAATTTACTTGTAAAGAATGATTTCTTTGACTAATAATAGTATTTACTGATTGCTCATAGTGCCAGTCAACACACAGATTTCTGATTGCTGTACTAGAAACTACATATATATCATCACCCTCATTGACAGATAAGGAAACTGAATTTCAGAACTCAGCAACTTGCTCTAATTCAGGCAGCCACTAAGGTATCAGCAGTCAAGCTTGGATTCAAATCTAGGAGTATTGGACTCAAAAAGAAAAACAAACCCTAATTCTAACCAGTGTACTCTATTTCAGTTTCACAGGACCCCTCCTCGTGGTTCTGTTGCTTCTCCTGTGAGTGTTGTAGAGTTCATGAGAAACAAGCCTTTTCCTGTTAGACTATATGGAATCTCTCTTTTAAATTTTTGTATTTGCTAGAGGACAAATAAAGGTTTCTCAGGAAATATACTCAAGAGTAGAACTATGTAATTTGAGTGATACCTAGAGAGATAACCCTATGCTAGTGAGGAATGTACAAACCAAAATCAGCTGCCAGTTTAGCAGAATACCAAACTGTACCTGTCCAGTGACGCTTCAAGAAACAAGACAAATTAAGGAGAGTTCTAGGAAGGTTCCTTTAATGATAATATTCATTTGAAAAAAGACGTGACACTGTTAAGCACTTAAATGCTAAAATTGTCCTACAGTAATACAATTATGTAACCAATGATATAATTTTAGAATTTTGAAGAATTAGAGTGTTTCTCACTTTTGAAAAAGCTCTGTAGCTCCAGTGGATATCATACTGACTATGGAGTAACATCACATAAGGCATTCATAATGATTTATACTTGTTAAAATTCACTTAGCTTCAAGTATGAAATTTCTTTATTTCCACATATTCAAAATAAAACCATAATGGTGGTATGAAATAATATTGTCTGACTGTAATAACTATGCCTCTTTTTTTTTCAGGAATGCTTTTTTGATGATGTAGAGAGCATACCCACAGTGACCACTTGGAACACATACCTTCGCTATATTACTATCCATAAGAGCTTAATTTTTGTGCTGATTTGGTGTTTAATTGTTTTTCTGGTTGAGGTAAGAATGTCCTGTTACAAAATATTACTATGATTTGAAGTTAAATTAAAAATAGTTTGGAAAGGTGTACAGTTTCATATATAGTTCTTATGTTATGGAAATCAATAATTGATATTTTATTATTTTATACATAGCATATTAATATACCTAAACAGAGGTACTACAAGAAATTTAAAAAATTAAAAAATTGTATTCTGTATATTTAAGGCATGTAACATTATGGAATGCATATAGATTGTAGAAAGATTACTACAATGGAGCAAATGAACATATTCATCATTACAAACAGTTAATCTTTTTGTGGCAAGAGCAGCTACAATCTACTCATTTAGCATGAATCCCAGTTTTATTAACTATAATCTTCACCTTGTACCTTATATCTTCAGATATGCAGAATTTTTAATAGTGCTTCATAAGTTCAAAGTATAAAGCCTTTATATGAATTAAAATTTAAAATAATTCTGTACTAAATTCTAAGTTTATTTAACTATAGATATTATTCTATTAAATATGCAGGTAATGATTCTTCAAATGACTATTTCTTTGAAAAATGAGATAAATATATGTTAGTGACTTGAAATCATTGTAAACAACCCTTTCAGAGATACAAATCACCTGCTTGCTTACAGAAATGTTTCTGTCTTCACCACCACCATTGTGGTTTCTTTGCCACACCTTTACTGACCTTCATTTCATCAAGCTAAAAAAATAAAAAGAGGGAGATGCAGATAGTACAGTAGGCCATAGAGAAGAGATTCTGGAAGCCTGGTGGTGGGCAAGGCTTTCTCTAGATGAGTACTGCCATATACATGCTTAAAGAGGCCTGGCAGGGAACATGTGTGGGGGAGGCGGTGGTGGGGATGCATGTAGAGCATTTGCCCCCCAGTTGTCAGGAAGGGGAAATTGTAACCAACACCAGCCAAGGACTCACAATGGGGGAATTAGGAATCCCTCACAGCAAATCTAACTTAACAAGATAAGACAGATCCAAATTTTCTGTAGAAGTTTCTGTGTGTACTTGATAAAATAAATACAAATAAATAATATGCAGATGCAACAAAACATGTCTATGGATTGGATTTTGCTTGTGAAAAACTACTCCAGATATTTATTCGAGAGGATGTCCCTCCATATGTCCCAATATGAAACCTAAATCTAACCTGAGGGTCCATTCTGCCTTCAGGGAAGAAACTACTGTACTGCCTTGAAGAACTGCCTTTCCTGAGGCAGTAGAAGACTGGGCTTATATCAACACATATTTCTTATTGTTAGACTGTTTCTAACCTCAATTAAGAAAGGTTACAGAAAGTATTCTCATTTTCTATGATCTTGTAAAATAGTGTTAAATACATACAGGTATATACCAAAAAGTTGTACATACTTTTTCACCAAGAAGCCATGGATTTCCATTTCATCTTTGAATTTTGGTAGTATCTATTCATTTGCCCTGCTGTTTTAAATTAACACAAAAAATAGAGGCCTCATTTGCAATTGAGTATGGCATAGTGCCAACTCTGGAATCTGACTGCCCTGAGTATGAGGCCTAATTCTGTCTTATTAACACTGCGAAACTGAACAAGTTAGTTTACCTCTGTGAGACACCGTTTCCTTATCTATAAAACAGAGATTGAAAAAGTACTCATTTATTAGACCATTTTGTGGGTAAAGAAGCATTGTGATAAACACTTAATGTAGGACTTGGTTCATAGTGAGCAATGTAATTGCTGTTATCTTTAATATATCATTATTACAAAGCTTAAGATAGTTTGAGATGAACAAGTCAATGAGTGATATAGTGAAAATTTCAGTAATTGTTTTACACTGTAACAAGTATAATGCAAGGTAATTTGACATGTACACATCAGTAATAAATATGGAATTGAAATATATTGCAAATTTACCTCATTAATATCTGCAGTCATGCCAGATGACTACCATTAATAAGTACAAAATTCGGCCTGTGCTCCATTTAATCTCAACCAGTCCTTTATAATTGTTAGCAATTTGATCCTCTGTATTGAAAGATCACATTAATTGATTTGTCTTCAACTTATATATTTAAAAAAAGAAGAGTCTGTGATGGTGATTTCTGTTAATTTGTAGGGCTTTGTCTCCTGTGTAGCTAAATAGAATTGAACTTGTGTGCCTTGCAGAATGATGCATAATTAATTAATTCATAAAGTGTTGAGCTGCTAGGCCTTTATAGAATATTATTATTCATTTAAGAAGAAAACAATGGTCCATTGTTATCAGGCAAGAAACTAAATTGTGAAACAGCATATAAATACTATATAACTACCCATGACTAGTTGAGCTCTCACATTTATTGAAAAAAGTTGTCTTTTTATTTTTATAATGGACAAAATAATTGATAATTCTGTTTCTGAGCAAGAAATAATAAATGATGAGCTTCTCTTTGGTCATTCTCCTGTAGGCAGTGCCAATTAACTAGCCCTTAAAATTCTGAATAACAAAAAATTTGAACAGAAAAAACATGACAATAGTAAAATACAGTAATTTCCTGCATAATTATATATCTAAACAATTCATTCACAAGTGTCTGTAATCTTGTTGACTTCTTTAAATCCACACTTACATAGTTTTTCTTTCAGACTAAGCCTTTTTCCTTTTATTAAAAAGTTGTTTATTAGTACACCTTTGCAGTACATAATGATTACCTTTATTGTGGAGAGTTTGTACATGTGCATAATCCATCTTAATTCTTTTTTTGTCCCCTTCCATTCCTCCCCGCTCCTTCCCTCTTCTTTCCCTTCCCATATGCAAAAGCTCTACTTCTATTTTTTCCCTCCACTCTTTTTGAAAATCCCTTTTCCTTTCCTTTCCTCCTCTTCCTCCTTCCATTTCTTATTCCCCTTCCCATTTGAAAAAGCTCTCTCTACTTCCGATTATCTTTATTTTACTCTTTATTTATACCCATTTCTCATTATCAGTGGACATGTCATTGGTACTTCAGTTGTGGTACAGGTGATAATCTGGCATGATAAACCCTGCTTAGAGACTTATAAAGTATAATCACAATATACATTGAATATTTAAATAAAATCTGTTACAGTAAAAGACACATTGCTCTTAATCCTTCTCAAATCTCTCCCCCTCATAGCCAATACATTTATCCCATTGTTCTTGCCACTTTTTGAGAGTTCTAGAATTTCTCTTTCGTGGGTGTCTTTATGAAGTGTGATAAAAAAACACAGTGAATGCTGCTGCTGTGTGTCATCCAAGGGAAAGACAGGCCTGTAGACACATTATGGTGTGTCTGCATCTACCTTATCCACTGGATCTGGCACCAAGAAAATAAGCTACAAAATTTCTTTTATGCCGGTCATTCTAGTGGCCTTCTTGGCAGTGAAGTATTGACTAGACAGAGAAGAAATGTGCATAATAGATTAGAAGGTGTTTTCCAACAACCACGGGATGGGGTGTTACTGATTGGAACACCTGAGGATCTTGTTTAGTGCTTCCATTCTAATTAAGATTGTGTCAGAGATCTGCTGTATTCTCCTTTTGTGACTTGTTTTCTGTTTGTTAATGAGGAATCCTTGAGTGCCTTTATACTGTTAATGAAATGGGGATTCACCATACTCCCCATAATACCACTTATGCTATTGAGCAATGGCGATCCTTTTAGGGAACATTACTTACCATGGATCTATGTTTTAGTACATGATTTGACTGGTGAAGTAAAGTATACAGTGTTCTCTGTTATATGCAATGATGTTTAAGGCCTCCAGAAAATGGAAAATAAATATATTTTTGCTTTCTTTCTTAATCATTCAGTACTGTTACTTTATCTAGAATTGCATAATGTTTATAACCTCAAAGCATTTTGGAAATGAAATCATAGAAAGTACTACTTTGTATCTAGATGTCCAAAATATCTTTACTAAAGTTATTATGTCAAGACTTTGAAAATGTTTCTGTTTTAGCTAGTTAAAGGGGTTTGAATTGGTGAGTCCATGTGGGTAGAGCTAGAAAATAACTTTATATTATAAACAGTAGTTCTTTAGAAATCTCTTTTGGTTATTTCATTAGTGTTATAAAATATTTATGAGATTTACTCATGTTCAGAGAATGTTAGCATTGACACTCCTTTAATTGGATCAAAGGGGAAAGAGTGACTTAGCACATACCCTTATCTAGGATCTTGGATAATTTGATTAGTCTTAAGAAATAGGAAGACATTTGTATAAGAACAAAGACTTTTGAAAGGGCTAGATAATTTCTGGGTTTCTTGTCATTTTGAACTTGTAGCTCAAGGAAAAAAAACAGTTTTTCTTTTTACTGAGACAGTGCATGGATGCTGTGTGTACAATGAAGAAAAGTAGGAAAGTGAGAAAATACCAATAGCTTTTTCATCATTATATTACATCTAATAGGTGAATTTAATTAAATACCAATAAAAGAATTTAAGAAAAAAACATGAGCCTTTTTTTTAAGTATAGTTCTTCAGTATGCAAGAATTAATGCTAAATGTTCTCCATGAGTTTTTTTAATATAGTATGTACTTTAAATCTTTAAGGTAAATTCAAGTATAAAGAGTTGTAGATACCTTATTCTATGCATAATTGTTTCTCCTTCTATTTATTTTATTCTGTGTCCATTTCCAGAATCACTTTACTCATAATTGCTTGTTTTTTTTTCTATTTCATTCTCTGTTTTTGTCATCATTCTATAACTTGAGAGTTATTTTTAATATTACAATTGAGATGCTATCAACACATGATTAAATTTCTCCACATAGTTTATGAGAATGGAGTATTAAATTGAAATATAACTGAGCACACATAATTGAAATATCTAAAGGACTGTAAAACCTTCAGTTTTTTAAAAATTGGTTTTGTTGTTTAGATATGTCATAGAACATTTCTCCCTCAGCCGAATGCTTTCACCATGAGAAAGTACTGAGTTCTAAGTAATTCTAGTACAGAGTGTATGTTTTAACTTGAATACATCTTACCTTTATTCATAAACTATGAATTTTTATACCATTGAAACATCTAATTGATTTTCATAAATATTAACCTCACCTTTTCCAATAATTAATTGATCTCACAGGTAAGAGTCTTCATTATTCATTCCACACCAAATGAAATTTTTTACAGCAACCAAAGAGACTGATTATTTGCCAACAGGCTGAAATTCGTCTCTTTCTAAAAAAATATTTAGCTGTAATCTTGTTCTCCTGTGGGGTTCAATGAACATAGTTCCTGTTGAATAAAGGAGAGAATTGACAAGTTTTTACTTTGGTGAAAATTGAATTCAGTAATATGTTCTTACCATAAATAACGATGCTCCGAACAACTATTTCAGCTGTTGGAGGCAGGAAAGCAAAGCAAAGAAAATGAATGTGTGTACTTTGATGTTGGCCATGTTGAAATTAGAGATGGGTGTGAGAGGAATTTGTAAAGATGTTAGGAAAAAAAATCAACTATATATTGTTTCATTCCAGGTGGCTGCCTCTTTGGTTGCTTTGTGGTTCCTTAAAAAGTGAGTATTCCATGTTTTATTGTGGATTGTTGGTTATTTGGTTATTTGGGTTTCTGTAGTATAGCAATATCCACTATGTTTTATTTTCCCCTTATTATTGTGGCAGTGGAAAAACAAACTATAGCTATCCTTCGGCTTCTGAGGGGAATGGGTTCCAGGACCCCCATGGATACCAAAATTTGCAGATGCTTAAGTCCCTTATATAAATGGAATAGCATTTGCATGTATTCTGTGTATATCTTTCTGTATTCTTTAATCATTTCCAGATGACTTATAACTCCTACTACACTGTAAATGTTATGCAGATGATTGTTATAATGATAAGAAATTTTCAGTACAAATGCAATTTTTAAAAAATTTCAATTGATTGTTGGTTAAATCCACAGATTTATAGCCCACCAGTCCAGAGGGCTGATTGTATTTTGTTTAAATTGTGAACATATGTAGTTCCTGAAGCTGTGTCCATTTCTAAAGGAATTAGTTTTGTTTTATCTCCATGAAATGCAATATAAATATTTGAAACAGTATTATGCATGCAGTATTTTCTCTAAGTATTTTGATCTACTATAGAGCAAATATATTTTAATGAGAAAAATTTTACTGTTTTGCAATAGAAAGATTTGAGACTAAGAGCACACATACTGTTAATCCAATATGTTGTGTTTCTTTAGATTCAAATTTAATTTATTTTTTCCGCATGTATTGGATATTTCATAGACAAGTGTTTTTGCCAAATAACATTTTCCTTTTCTTGTTTTACAGCAACCCTCCTAAACAGGAAGTGAATGGAAATAACAGCTATGCTGTGATTGTCACCAGCACTAGCTTCTATTATGTTTTTTACATTTATGTGGGAATAGCTGACACTTTGCTTGCTCTGGGATTGTTCAGAGGTTTGCCACTGGTGCATATACTAATCACAGTGTCGAAAATTTTACACCACAAAATGCTACATTCTGTTCTTCACGCGCCCATGTCAACCCTCAACACCTTGAAAGCAGGTACTTGACTAAGTAATCAACATGAAGCTCCTGATCCATCATCCATGGAGCCTGTAGTTTCCTTGCCTTTGTGTAGTAGCATTGCTTTTGCAGGGAGCCATCAGCCCTTGGTTAAGCTGCCTTATGACTGACAAGTGCCTTTCTCAGATGTTACAGGCAATCAAATATTGAGGCTTCTGATGTTTCTGGATCCACCAATTACAGTAGCCTTTTTCACTAGGGTGGGTTGCTGATGAGATAACAGAAACAGTCTCTTTGGAGTCACTCCTTCCCTTTTCATATATTTGGCTCTGTCTCCTTCTAGGCATCTTGTTGCTAAATGTAGTATTGTTCCAAGAAGGAGATGACTTGAAGTAACTAAGGAAAATGTTGAAGTCTTCTACTAATAAATTCTTTTCATAGAACAGAATAATCTAGTTTCACGTAACTGTTTAAGGACAATCATGTTAATTTGTTTCAGATTTTTGTCTTGAATTTAGGAGAGATCCCAAATGGATATTAAAACTATTTTTGGCACCATCATAGAGAAAAAGACAGAAATTCAGAGTTATGGAATAAAGGGACCAAAACTTTTCAAAACATAGGGTAATAAGGTACTATGAAAGTAATCAATTCCATTGATTTCCTTTTAGACAAATTCACATCTAAAGACTATGAGGTTAATAAGGTATCCTCCTAAGCTTCATCCTTACAACAACCTGTTGAGCTTTTATTCTAAACCAGGGTGGAAGGAGGGAAGCAGAGGGGTCATAGATAAATGGACAAGGTGATCAACCAAACACATTTGATAGTATAACAAGAAATAGACTGCAATTGAAACTTTTAGGGATTTATATATAAAAATCTCAGGAATCATTTTTACTACATAACAAAATTTCAGTATTGGTATATGGGAAGACCTTTTTATTTTTCTTGAGGCCCATATGTGTCACTACCAGTTTGCCTCCCTCTGATATATCCATTGCCATCCTCTGTTTTAGAGGAAAGAGGCAAGAATTTTATACCTAAGAGGTTGACCATTGCATTTGATCCAATAAATTCATTTTTATGAAAAATCCAAGAACCTGAGAAGGTAGTAGATTCACTCAAGTTTCTGGCAAAGGCAGAAATGAGTTACGAGATACAGTTGAAAGAGCACAACATTGTTTGAGCCCAGGTTTGGCCCTAGAAGAGTGCTGATTATAGGAAAGTTACTTTTATGAGCACTAGCCTCCTCACCTCTAAGCTGAGGGGTAGAATAATTATCTTAGAGGGTCTATGGCAGTGAAACAAGGCAATTTGTTTGCCTACCACACAGCCAATCTAAAATAAAAGTGTTATCTTCCTATCAACGTTCCCATTTGTGGGGTCCTGTTCCTACAGGGGTATACTTTCTATTCTACCTCTTTATTTTTCCACATTCCTCATTCCCTTAAATAATTCTCATAGTTGGTTCTGAGCCTTCCTTTTATCATATTTAAATGATTGTCTCTACTTTCTTGTTCCTCATTTGTCTTTCCAAACTTTGCAAAGCTTTCCAAACTTTTCTCTACTTTGTAGGATGATTCCTAAACACCTCTGTTCCTTTTTATTTATGATCCTGAGAACTGAAATAGTTGGTTGATTTACAATGGTGGTATGTCCTTCTCCTGCCCCTCGTTTTGCCCCTCCAATTTTTGTATACAAAGATTATACTTTATTTTAATAACTACATTTATTACTGACTCATGGTTCATGAGATCTCATTCTGTCACCTAGTTATTCTCTGCTATACTTGTCAATAGCTAGGGGAACATATGCTTACAGTTTCTCCCAGATGTGCCTTTCTGCAATTGTAGATTGATTTTGATTTTCTCAGACTATTACCTGATTTTCCTGTTAGTTTTAAATGACCTTAAACTCATACAGACACATAGTAGGTACTCAGCAAAGTATTTTGAATAGATGAAAAGTGTAAATGTATATTGTGACAGAATACTATAGTAGGAAATAATAGGCAACAGGATATTTTTTTCACCAAACCAAACGCTCAATTTCTAAACTAAGTATAACCTATGGGCTGTTTTTTCAACTTTTGGTTTATTTATGGAAATATATACAAATATGTTTAATGAAATATGCTAAAGAATAATGTCTGTACATAAGGTTTTTTGCTTGGGGCTCTAGGTGACTTCTCACAATTTACAGTCTAGGGAAAGAGATAAGACCTGTACATACACAAGCAACTATACAACATGCATATCATCACTGTAACACAGACTCAGACAAGAAAGAAGAGACCAATTCCAGCTGCAGCAAGCACTGGTGCTGTCTTGCAAGAGGGGCATTTGAATTGGGCCAGGGAAGAAATACAGATTTTGACAAGTAGAGATGAGAGGCAAAGGTTTTCAGGCAGAACAACTATATGGTGAAAGTAGGAGGTAAGAAAATATGGAGTGTGTTTATAGACCAATTTGGCTAAACTAGAATACTTCAGTAGAGGAAGCTTGTACTAGCCAGGTGAGTTAAGGCCAAATTATGGAAAACATTAAATATTAAACTAAGGGTTTTGGACTTTATCCTGAAGTTAATAATGGTTGAATGATAAAGTGCAATATGACTTTGTTTGTACAGTATTATATTATATTTTATCTAATTGCTTGTTTAACTCCTCTCTAGACAATGAATTCCTCAAGGACAAGGAGCATAGCTTATTGATCTCTATTATCTTAGTGCCTGGCATTGTGCTTGGCACATAGTAGACACTTTTTTTAATTATAGAAATTATCAAACTTACAAATGTGAGTCTAGAATTTAGAAGACAGGCTGAAACTTAGATTGCCAGTGAAGAGGGTAGAAGGAAAATGTGGCAATGAGGACCACATACTAGGCACATACAAGGAGAGAGAGCAGCCTCGGATTCTGCAGGAGTCCCAGAAAGCATGAAAGTCAGAACAGAGGGAGAGTTCTAAGGGGTGAGATATAGACATGAGGAAAGGATGGCAACATACCCAGTAAATTATCTTTAAACTCAAGGTGAAAAAGTGAGTTTATATTAGGATGGGTACCCATTCCTGACATAATTTACAATAAGGGCTTTATTAAAGATGTTGGGTTTTTAAAACTACATCTTAAAGCAATCTGTTTTATGAATGTTTGAAAGCTGGTGACAATAACTTGAGCACATAGTTACTCAGAACCTTGAACAAAACTAAAATTTTCTGTCTGCATTTACATTTATTTGTTTTACATGCAATTGTTTTTTGAATTCTGATTGTTTCTACTGAGATCCAAATTTAAGATTAAATATATGGATATATCTTCTTAAAATTACTTGATTTTTAAGAAATTTATATTCTTTATATTATAGGTGGGATTCTTAATAGATTCTCCAAAGATATAGCAATTCTAGATGATCTTCTGCCTCTTACCATATTTGACTTCATCCAGGTTTGTAAAAATTAACTGCTATTAATTACCTTTGCATGTCATATCTTTTAATGATTACAAAAAGAAGTTAATGAGGTTTTGCTCACTTTTCATTTGATTAAGAGTCAGAGTCTTATCTATTGTATAAATTTTGTGGATATTAATTCTTCAAAAGAGATATAACTTTAGTATATTTAGTAGCAAGGCAGAATTATTTATCTGGCCCAAGCCCAAGGCAATCCCTAATTACTCTACTTTGGAGTGATTTGAAAGGTAAAAGAGACTCTCTTATCCCCAATTAGTGGCCCCAAAATATGACATTTTTGACATTGATATCATTATACTTTGGAAGTCCATGTACTGTATCTCCATAAAAAGCCCATATTGAAATGAAGATGGGTTCCCTGGGTGGGCTACACTCAAAACCAATGTCACTCACAAGCACTTTACCACAGTTTAGCTAACCGCAGTTAAGAGACAGACATAAGATTAGTTTTCAAACAGGTGAGAGGAAAATAGAAATTCAGGTTATGTGAGCACTGTCCCTGAGTGACAGATGTGGATAGGCCCCCAGGGCAGCCAACTGTGGGCCTGACCCTGATGGGTGGTGAGTAGAGAAAGAGCAGAGGGGGTAGAGATGAACAAGACCTCGGGTAGCCACATTAGAACTCTGCTTAGACAGTGCTTAGGAGGGTTGTATGTTGATATTCTTGGCTGTTGGATCAGGTTTGAGCACAGCTTTCTGTCTCATTTAGTTGAAGCTTTAAAGGGCAAATGCCACAGCCTCGATGATGTCTTTGGAGAAGCAGCTGAAACAGAGTTAGGGATGAGTCATTCTCCTCTCTTGCCCCTCTCCAGCCCTTCAGAATAATGAGACATGGAGACAACTTAAAAATAAAATAAAAAAACTACCATATATGTATATATACACACAACCAACTTTGGCAGATGCAGAAAACCAGCCTGTCAGTTTGCCTCATCGGAAATAATTGACACACTCAAATATATTTACTATTCCAAGAGACGTTTTGAATTTCCTTCAGTCGCTGTGTTTAGAAATACAATTCAGCAGTTTCTGGTGAAAAATTTTTATCTGTGTTTTGAGTTCATGCATTCAAAGGAGTATTTCCTGTGTATTTCTTTAAATGCTGGATATTTGTTCCACATTCTAGGGGTGTAAATGACTGGTCCCAAGTATAACATTATTAAATCAAGTACAAACTGGAACATAGACTTTGACCTAATTGCAAAAGAAATCACAAATGGTGGCCCTTTTAGTAATCATTTCCCTACTTTTATAGTCTATTGAGTATCTTCTTAATCAGTTTGAGGCTCACCTCAGAAATCCTCTGGGAGAATTAATTTTTAAATACTTACTTTGTAAATTAATACTTCTATAAAGATGATAGCTCTCAAATCCTTTTATACCATTTTGAATAGTTTCTGGTCAAATTCTTATACTGTTGAAATTCATTTGTTGTGGCTTCACAAGTGAGTAAGCAGAACAGCTTTCTTTTAATTTACCCATTTTATTTGTGATAGAAGAGGTCCTCAGATTCAGAAACATAATATATGACAATCCCAATATAGTAAAAAGTGACCAATTTTAATTTTGTTAAACAGTTCATCACAAAAGGTTCTTTAAAGTATGAGCTTCTTTGATTATTCTTAATTATGTCCAGACAAGTAAAAATTCGTTCTGTTCACAGCATTTCAGGAACAGATCTATTGGATAAAACAAGGCATACCTACTTTCCTATTGCTAGAACAAATACATCACTCCCACAAGTTAAAAGAAGAAAGGATTATTTGGGGTTACAGTTTCCAAGAGTGCAGTTCAAGTTTGGCTGGCTACAAGGCAGAAATAGCAGGCAGAAGAGCATAGTGGAGGAAAACTGCTCAGCTCATGGCAATCAAGAGGCAGAGAGAGAAGGGAGGAAGCAGTGTCAAAAATACACCCTTTTAGCTGGGGATTTAGCTCAGTGGCACTGCGCCTACCTTTTAAGTGCGAGGTCCTGAGTTCAATCCCTGGTAACAACAACAAAAAAATAACAACAACAAAAAACAGAAAAACACCTTTCTAGGTCAGACCCTCAGTGACCTGCCCCTTCTGGATAGGCTTTATGTCTGAACACAAGACTTTTTTAAAATTAGCCCCAAACAGTAACATCTATAAATTTTCTCCTTTAAAAAACCATAAATTCTCTTCACTCTACTTCCTAACTTTTGATATTCTGACAAATTGCTTTCCAGATTGGGACATTATATAATGCAAATGGAAGATCTGCATTCTATTCTGCAGACATCAGTTTTACCTTGAGCCAGACACTCTTGCATGGTCTTAGGTTTGTCACCTATAGAATAGGAAAATAAACCTGATGGTAGTCCCATTCAGATCTTATGTTTCACAATGGAATGCTATAATTGCACCATATATGACAAATTTGTTCTTGAAAGCAAACAGTAAAAACTGTTCCCTAGCCTTGTACCTGACTTTGTGTCTGAGGGGATTATTTATTTCATCAAACAGAAGCATGCATATGTTAAACCCAAAACCTATTCTTAGCCTTGAAGCTTTAAGGACTCTTTTTTTCCTTCTATCTTATCCCAGTATATTTTTACACATTGAGTCCTGCTATTTAATTTCTGCAAGTTTGTCTTTTACATCTTTTTACTACCTCTTTGTTCACCCTTATTTATCTCATTAATTGCTTGCTTAGACATTTTCAAGGACTCTATCATTTATGAGATAAATGCCAAATGAGGTGTCATTGCATGGTTTTAAATAGGCATTTAATTTTCTTTTTCTTTTTACCAATTTTGAAGTGATCCTTCATTGTTATCATCTATCTGTTCCTGTGTGGGCTTCAGTGTCAGTAATGCTTTGGAGCTGCTTTAGTGGGTGAAAGGAAGTATCCTGGCACTTTCTAGGAGTGTGGTTGTGTAGCACCATTTAGGTTTCATATTCTGATGGTTTTGGTTTCTTTGCTGGGGAAGTTTAGGATTTGGATAATTGGAATGGGAATTAGGAATATGTGCTCACTGTTGTGAGTGTATAGCTTAGTGGTAAAGCATTGGAATTCAGAAATATGTGCTCACATTTTATCTAGTCATGAAGGCCCTCTACTTCCTTACTTGTTTATGTATTTAGTTAGTGTCTTCTCACTAATATATCTTGCCTAGAATGACTTGTCTAAACCATCATGGATTAAAACTGGGATATAATTTAAGGTTTCTTTGTATATAAAAGTATCAAATATATTAAACCAGTGCCTTTAATTTTGCAAACAGGGCTAAATTATTAGGGCCTGGCCTCAATACTTAATAAAAGCCTCTTATGGAAGAGAAACAGTTACTTTTCTCTCAGTGATGGTGAACCTTTCAATGAAAACAAGTAGCTGGCTGTGGCACTTGTGCCATAGGTTTGCTATAACTGTGGTGGTTATAGTTGCTAGAAGTCTATGAGTCTATGGTATTTTTTAAATGTTACATCACTTCCAAATGTACCCACTTTCCCCATTCTTTCATAACCCAGTGTAACATATTGGTCAGCTAACTTTCCAAGTCCACTTGTGTTCGTCAACTTTTTGATACTGTAACAAATACCTGAGAAATCAACTGATAAAGAGAAGTTTATTTGGGTCACAGTTTTAGAGGTTCCAGTCCAATGATCACTCAGCCCCTGTGGCGAGGCAGCACATCAGAGTGGGAGTGTGTTAGGGGCCAAAACCTCTCTACTCCTGGCCAAAGCTAAACAGAGGGGAAGAGGAAATGGCTAGGATCCCACCATCCCCTTCAAGGGCACTCTTCCATGACCCAAAGACCTCTCAGTAGTCCTCATCTTTGATATTCCACTGCCTCCTAATAGCACCATTAAACCTTTAACACATAGGTGTTTAGGGTCATTTGAGGTCCAAAGTATTGTAATACCTATTCTTTCTTAACATAGTTATACTTCATTCCTAACAATCTCTACCATATCTGCAATCACTAAAAAGGAACTGATACTTTCAACAGAAAACAAGTTAAAGATGAGGTTCTTTGTTACCCCTTTCCCCACCCATTGTTTAATGAAAATGGCACCAATTTGTCATTGTGTAGTAAAAATAGCATAAGTCAAATTAATTTAGTGCAGTTTACAACCATCAACAGCAAACAGAAGACCCTGATTCTAATGGAATAGCTGAATGGTTCTCCTATTACTAAAGCAATAGAAGTTGTTTTTCAGGCATGCTGATGTTTAATGTGATGACTCATTTAAATTATATTATATTCTTGAAATAAACCATACTTGAAAGTTAGTGTTTTTTCTTTTTTTCTTCCAGAGCTCCTATTTCTAAGACAGAAAAAAAAATTAGTTTTCTAGTGATAAAATATCTTGTTATGTAATAGTTAAAGCCTCATTTTTTTGTAGTTTTGGTAGACCAAGATTAGAATCTGGAAGACTTCCTTTAGATTACTGAGCTATGATATACCTATTCCAATACCTGGCACAGTAAAGATTTATCCAGCTGTTTGTTGAATGAGTGAGGAGTTGGCATTCCATCATTTGATGATTGGAGTTGTAGAAATATTTTCTCTTAGAAAAGTGTCCTTTAGATATATTAATTTGAAATTCCAGGTGGAAATAGTAAGCAAATCAAAGATTTATGGAGATCTGAGCTGCATTTTATCCTTGCCCCATCTACCAAAATGTCATGTGTTTTACTGCATCTGCTGGAAAATGCATGAGTCACCCATATAAACTGATAGAAGAACTAGTTCACTGATTAACATATGGGTGATTTTAAAAGCCTGTATTTTAACTCTTGTTTCAGGTACTTTACTTATACTTCATTCAAATGGGGTATTGTGCAGTAAATATTAGTAGATATTTTATCCTTTAAAATATGTGTTTGGGGTCATGTAGAAATATAGAATGTTAACTTGATCCCAAAGAACACCAATCTGGTAGGCCCATTTCTGAAATTGTGAACAAAATTCCAGCTTTTTGATGAAAATATCAAGAGATGTCTTTAGTA